GCAAATATTTATTGAGTTCATATTATTTGTCAATATTTAATACCTTAAAATCATAATCTTTGGGTTGGATGGGGTCTTAGCAGTCAAGTAATTCAAGATTCGTCCCAAAGAATGATTCACAGTATGCATTTATATTATGAAGTGATATATCTTGAGTATTCTCATTAACAGTTGTCAAGAACCAGAGTCCAGTTATGGCTGGTTACCCACGCTCCACAATTTTTGCATTTCAAAGTGAATATCCTCAGAGTTTTTCTTGACTGCCTGCTGAGCAGTTTACCTCTAGAAATGCATTAGCCTAACTGGATAGCCTTACTTCTTGAGAGACTACCTTTCCTGCTTCCACTTCCCCAAGCAAACCTGGACTCTCCCTTGCCTACTGTACTTCTTCCTAAATATTTACCATGGAGCTCTCTCTCAATCCTTCCAGAACAGGGTCTGGAGTAACACTTCTCTTAGGTGACTGAGCTTTTGCATCACCTTCTCATTATTGTCTGTGGATATAGGAGGGGATTTTTACCTTACTCTGCCTATCTGAGGGCATTCCTTAATTCTACCATAAGGTCATCAAGGACTTGATGCTTTAGATGGATCCCTCCACTGTAGAGAGCTGACAGCTGGAAAATAATATACTTAATGAGTACACTTCTCCAAGCAGGCATGTTGGTCTCGTGTACTTCTCCAGCAGAACCTCTTAAAAGACTTCTTTAGAACCGTCTGGGATGCAGAGATGTAGATGCTTAAGTTTCCTTTGCAGTAGATGTTTGCCCTGTATTGTGCTTGCCCTATAAGCAAGTAATATGCAACATAAATCTACTAAATATTGTGGTTGCCCTATAAGAAATGCCAGGTCCTTGAGTACTCACCAGAAAGAGGAGATAATCTTGAAATAAACATAAAGGATCATCATTTACATTTATGTTGTGTATATAATTTGGTCATTAAACATAAGATGAGGTCTAAAAAGGCTTGTAGAAAATGAATCTGTGTTGAGATTTGGTGAAGCAGGCTCAGTTAAAAGAATTTTATTACAATGTATCTTTACCATTTTTAGCCACTAATAAAGCAGAAGTCACCATTACTTTGCCAACAATAAGCATAGATTTCTAAAATATAATCAGAAAATTAAACAAAAAGAAGGAAGATTAAAATATTAGCTAGCAATATCATCTTTTAATTATTTAAATAATGATAGTAGAAACAAAAGCAAATTTGCCATGAAAAAATGGTTCATTTCATTAATACAGATTTATGATTACTGTATAATTTGTATAAAAAGATTTACTGAGAGAAGTACTAATACAAATGGATATTTGGGGGCTGCGATTGTGGCTCAATGGTAGAGCACTTGCCTAGCACATATGATTCACAGGGTTCGATCCTCAACACCACATAAAAATAAATAAATAAAATAATGTTATTAAATGTTTATTTTAATTTGTTAAAAATGTATATTTGTATATATACAAAATGTATATTTGTAAATGTCTAGAAAAAATGTGGTACATCATAGCATGGAGTACAACTTAGTAACAAAGAGGAATGGACTACTGGTATTCAGAGTAACTGGGATGAAATAAGGACATTCTGTTAAAAAGTGACAGAAGCCAATCTCAAAAGGTCATAGAGTTTATGATTCCATTTATTTGGCATTCCCAAAATAACCAAATTATGGGGATAGGAAGAATTTCATGCCTTTCATGAATTAGGTTTCATGGATAAGGGAAGTGGTTCTAACTATAAAGAGATTAAGAATTAAAAAAAAAAAACTCTTATAAAGAAATTCTGCACCATAAAGGGGCAAATAGTCTTGATTTTTTTTTCTTCCAAAATATTATTACTGTTTGCTCTTTTCTGAATATAAAAGTTAATACATGATCACTGAAAAAGTAATATACTTAAGACATAAAGAAGAAGTATAGAATAAGTATAACCCCACCACCAAGAAATTATAATTTCTTCTAGTATTTGTTGTTATTGTGGTTTTGTTTTGTAGTACTGGGGTTTGAACCCAGGGGCTGTTACCAAAGAGCTACACCCTAAATCACCATTCCCCCATTTTATAATTTGAGACAGGTTCTCACTATTGCCCAGGCTAGCATTGAAATTCTGCCTCAGTCTCTGAAAAAGCTAGGTAGATTTTTGTTTATACAACTCATATGCACACACATACACATGCACATAAATTTACACTGACATTAGTTTATGTTTTTTTTTTTTTCCTTTAAATGTGCCATGAATATTGCTGTATATAAGCACAGAGCTACAGTGGAACATTTAAGATTACAAAGTATGACAAAATTGTATGAGTGAACCACCATTTAATCAATAATAAATATCAGTTTCTGATAAGATGCATTAAAATTTTATATAATAATTATAAATTTGTCAACTTGGTCTTATAACTTTTTTATTGCCAAATATCCTTTTAAACATTAATTAAAATCATGATTTCTTTTATCTTCTTGAAGTGCTATTTCTTTTATAACTATGAAGTATCTCACTTCATCCTCATTAATGATTTAAATTTTCTTTGGAGTATGGTTTTAACAGTTTCTACAAATATTTGGAAATGCTATATGTTGTACAATTCTATGAACATTTTAATTTTTCTTGCAATTTTTAAAAATTTTTTAAAACCCTAAAACTCTTTAGAATAGGTTATTTTGTTTCCAGATATGTGGGATTTATACAACCTTTATTTTGTTCTGGTAATTTTTATCACATTTGGCCACAGAACATAGTTTATATGACATTTATTAATGCAACATAATATTAATTCTCTTATGGCCCAGCATAGGAATAATCTTTCAAAAAAGTTTCACATAAAAATTAAAACAAAAGTTGCTTATGGAGTTTTGTCTACTAGGTTGTTCATGTTACTTGTATTTTTCAGATCTTCTGAATCATTGCTTGCTTTATGTTTTCTCAATTTAGCTGCTTTAAGAAGTTTGTAGTAAATTATCCTACTACAATTATTGATTGATAATTATTGATATCCCCATTCAAGTCCAGCATTTGCATATATGTTCCTGGATATATCATGTTGGGTAGGATGTCCTCTTAAACCCATTCTACAGTGAAAACATCCTGAAAATCCCTTTAATACCCCTTCCTACCAAACGATTTAGCAGTACAGTTTCTGTTGGGTATCAGTTGTGATGGCAGGCTGTTCACTGCTACAGCCCTGGGCATCATATCACAGTATGGAACCACAAACTGCTAACTAGTGAAAAGATCAAAATTCAAAACTGCAACTATGGATTCTACTGACAGTGAGTTATCTTCATACCATCATAAAGTAAAAAAGTCATAAGTTTTACAAGCACCTTCTGTATATTTTATCAGGTTATATTTTTGATACATATGTTATTAAAACATTCTTGCTTTTCAATTACTTTTATAAGAACCGCTTATTTTCTAAAATCTGTTTTTTTTATTTTCAAAAAATGGTGCTTTTGGGGACTTGACAATGTGATATCACCTTGCTGTCAGTTAAAAGTCAAGAAGTGTACCTGAGTGGGACCATCTGGTAATTTCTTTGGGATCCCCAATACTGGAGTGAAGAAGAGGCACAATGTTCCTCACCTGTCAGAGATGACCCACTCTGTCCCTTGAGTATATCCCTTTTCTCTTCTCCCCTACTAATAAACTCTGAAAAAAAAATGATGCTGTCAGTCTCTTTATTATTCTAAAACTACAGGTTTCAGAGAAGCAATTGCCACATAATCTGCTTTCTCTCATCTCCAACTTCACCCAACTCAAGCTGGAAACTCTTGATTCATCTTTTATCTTAATTTAGAAAAATAAAAAAGATTAATTTTAAATACTTTTTTGTTAACCCAGAGAAGTGTTTAGATAAACAGTCCAGATTTTAATGATACATTTTTACAAATTAACTTTTCATTGGAAATGATGTAGTAAGTCTTTTGGTTTGACTCAAACTTAACGTGTAGAAACTATTTTCCTTATGGACATATTTAACACCTAGAAAATTGAATTTAACCTGAAGTGACTTTTTAGACAATTGAAAATAGTTAAATGGATAGGTTCATAGTATTTTGATTAAAAGATTCTTAAAATTAATCCACTAAATTTCATGTTTGGGCCCTCCAACTGTAATTTTATGTTAGTAGTTGTACAACGTTTTCTTTGATAAAGAATTCACAACATCATATTTTGTTTTCATATACTCTAACTTTGGAGATATATCTTTATCATATGGGTTGGATTTTTCTTCTTTTCTGTTTGTTATTTAAGTGTATCATTTTTATTTTAATACAATTAAATTTAACAAATACTATAAAAAAGAAGTTGAGCTGTATAGTTCACTGATACTGCTCTGATTCACAATCAAAGTATTTAAGAATTGATTACAGCATATGATTACCTCATAACATCAGAACAAATTTTAATAAACCAAAAGTGCTACAGAAACAAAGAACAATTTTAAGTGCTACATCAAAAAAAGAGAAACAAAAATAAAAACAAAAACAAAAAACCTGGTAGCTCTATATATCAGGTTTTTTATTTATCTTTTTTCTACAAATATATGACTTTTTTCCAAAAGGAAAAAGTACCTTGTGTTTATGGATTCTGTAAAGTGCTAAATTATCTCTGGCTTGATAATTATCTATTGCCTTAAAAGGTCCTTTAATACAACTCTGGGGCTGTTGTCAAGGGGCATTGGCAATAGTGTAGAGGTCAAATGAAGATGCCCAGGTCCACCAGGTCCAACCAAGTCCAGCTGGGTTAATAAAAGTCACAGCTTCCAAATGGGGAGCCAAGAATGGCTGAATTATGTTTCATATTTAAAACTTCCTGGTACTTTTATACCTGGCTTTCTCCTTCCTGGTGAATCTAAAAGTTTCAAGATATGATCAGAAATTTTTCATGGTAGAATAGCTGGATGAGATTCTGTTTCCAGAAATTGAATAAAAAGTCCTGAAAAAGATCTATTAAGCCCAGTTTTCTCAGCTGGTCTCAAAGGTATGTTGGGGTCACTTTTGGAACTTCCCAATCAAAATACTAATCCTTGTTCTCTTTTCCATAACGAAGGTCTGGAGTTGCTGCTGGAGGTCAAGGACATCCTAGGTGTATGAAACTAGAGACATTCTAGCAGGAAGAGCTCCTCTCTCCATGTCTTTCTGCTGGATAATTTGAGTGAGTTTCTCAACCTCATCTTTAGACAGCTGATCTATCTGTTTGGTTAAAGATATATTCTTTGAATTCTGAAGTTTAATCTCAAGTACTCGTTCTTTGACTCTTTTCACAAAATTTTCCATTTTGGCTTTACATATGGCATCGTTTTCACTCCCATTTTCTGTATTAAGGCTTTTCACTTTTGTTTCTTGAAAACTATCAGCATTCTCTGTTTGAATGTCCTGTCTCTCTTCATGCCCCTGGGCTTTTATTTGTTCAATGGTTTTCTGCAAATTCTTAATTTCCTTGTCTTTTTGAAAAAACATTTGGGTATGTGCAGCCTTCATCTGCTCATACTGGTATTTAAATTTATCCATTTCCTCCTTCTGCTCCTGTAGTGACTGAAGTAGTTGCATGTGACTCTGGTTTTGATCTTCAATGACCTTTTGATGATGTGTAACAGCATGTCTTAACACATTTTGAACTCTACATAGTTCCTCCTCCTTTTGGCTAATGTGTTCCTTAAGTTCCAGATTTTCCTGCTGGATGTTTAAACTACTTTTTTGTGACTGACTTAGCTGACCTACTAAATCTTCGACTTTATCTTCAAGCTTCTGCTTGGTTAAATGCAAATCATGGAGGCTCAGTGCACTCTCAGTTAACTTTTCTTTCTGTACATGCAACTCTTTAGTTATGTCCATATTATCCTCCTCAAGTTGATGAACTCTCTCTTTTTCATACTCTAGATCTTGTTTCAACTTCTTGATTAGACCATCTCCTTCATTTTGCTGTTTTGATAGCTCATCTATTATCAAATTCATGTGCTTTGTAGCTTCCAGGTGCTCATTGTCCAGTTCTTCTAACTGAGCTATCAGCATTTCCTTTTCATTAATACTCTCATTCAGTTCTTGCTCCTTAGCCTCCAAGTTCAGTGTTAAGTCATGTATTTGTATATTCAAATTCATGTCTGTTGAAGCCTTACTTTTAATGACTTCACATTCCCAGCTAAGTTTGGAAAGTGATATCTGAAGTTCTTCCTTTTCTTGACTCAATAATGACTTCTCTTTTTCTAAAACTTGCACATGTTGAAGTTTCAGATTGTCTTCAGCAAGACAGCTATCCTGTCTTAAGCTACTCAGTCTCATTTTTTTTCATTTTCAGCATCAGACAGGGCTTGCTGTAGTCTGAACACTTCTCCCACTGATGAACTCTGTGGAGGAATTGTTCCCTTTCCTGCCACAGGATCACTCTCCTCCATCATAGAAGGCTGCAATTTACTGCATTCCAGTTTCAAGTTTTCACATTCTTCAATTATTTGTTGCTTTTCCACACTGAGCTGCTCTTTTTCTCCCTTCAGGACATCTCTGTCATGTTCTGTGGAGGATAATTTTTTCTTTATGTCTTATTGTATCCTCAAGTTCTTTAATTCTTCTTGTGGACTCTAGTTTTCACTTTGTAGAACCTGAATCATGTTTTGCATCTCCCAGACATGAGACTCATCAGTTACCGTAACTCCTGAGTCACCTTCATGTAACAGCTTTTCAAGTTCTGCAATCCGTCCTTCGTAGTCATCTGACTCCTGTTGATGCTGGTGACTTAACTCTGCCAATTTCTGTTGATGTGCATTCTGCAAAATGGACATTTCATGTTGGTGATGATCCCTGTCCTGACTTTGGTTTTGTTCCAGGACCTTAATAGTATTTTGTAGTTTGCAGACTTCACTAAGTCCATAACCAAATAAACAAAGTATGCTGGTTGCAGGTACACCACCTGCTCCTGAAGCTATTGATTGAGCAGCTGACTGCAGGCTCAACAATTGCTCCTGTAGTGCCATCTGGCTTGCTTGAAGATGGCTGATTTCTACCTGTTTCTGTTGCAGCTGATTTTGGTAACTTACATACTCCTATAGAAGATGAATAATAACAGATGATAGTTGAAGAATAGCCCTATTGGCTGCTTATATAAGAGGCCCATTCTATTTTGTATTGGGGAGGCCATTTCATAATAATGCAGCCTAAATTGAGAAGTGCTTTGTACTATAATCATATTGTATTTCTCATTCATATTAAACTCATTCTCCTAATCTGACAGATTACATTGACATACACAGGTTACACTCCAGCATGTGCTGGAACGTGGATCTCTTACTGTCATTTCATAACATATTCCTTACTTGCTCATCCTGGACCTTATGGAATAGTGAATAGAATATGACATTTGAGAATAAAATTTGGTTTAGGATAGTGAATATTTTAAGTTGAAACCAAATATGTTCTCATGGGAAAATCAATTTTGAGGATATTATCATTATCACATATGTCTTTATACAACATCTTCAAAAACAGAGAGTATATTCTTCAAAAAGATAAATTATACTCAAGAGGCTGAATCAGTAGGAATCCATGTTCCAGAAAAAAACATAAAAAGGAAAATGGAGATGGGAATGTAGCTTACTTGTAGAGCATTCTTGGGTTCAATCATTAGTACCACAAACCACCACCAGCACAACAACAATAAAAAAAAAAACGTAATTCTAAGAGTTTGTATTTATTGAGAATTTACCGTGAGCCACAGTAACACTGTGAAGTAGATCAAAATGTATTTTAGAGATTATTTTAGATTACTTAGATTAATAAATAATATTATAGATTATTTTAGGAATGGATTATTTGCTGTGATTCTTGCATAAAGAATTTTTTAAATTTATTTTTTAATTTTTTTATTTGTTCCAAGTAGTTATACATGACAGTAGAATGCATATTGAACATCACACATAAGTATAACTTCTCATTCTTCTGGTTGTACATTATGTAGAATTATACCAGTCATGCAGTTATATATGCACATATGGTAATAATGTCTGATTCATTCTACTATCCTTCCTACCTCACTTCACTCCCCTCTGTCTAATCCAAAGTTCCTCTATGCTTCCCTACCCTACTCCCTTACTGTGGGTTAGCATCCACATATCAGAAAACATTCAGCATTTGGTTCCTTGGAATTGGCTTATTTCACTTACTATCATATTGTCCAGCTCCATCTATTTAATAGCAAATGCCATAATTTCATTCTTGTTGGAGGTTGAATAATATTACATTGTGTATATATACCAGATATTCTTTATTCATTCATCTACTGAAGGACATCTAGGTTGTTTCCACAATTTAGCTATTGTGAATTGTGCTGCTATAAGCATTGATGTGGCTGTGTTCCTGTAGTATGCTGTTTTTAAGTCCTTTGGGTATAGACTGGGGAGTGGGATAGGTGTGTCAAATGGTGGTTCCATGCCAAGCTTGCCAAGGAATCTCAATATTGCTTTCCAAATTGGCTGCACCAATTTGCAGTCCCACCAGCAATGTGTGAGTGTGAATTTTTCCCCACATCCTCACCAACACTTATTGTTGTTTGTATTCTTAATAGCTGCCATTCTGAGTGGAGTGAGATGAAATCTTAGAGACTCATGCTATGTAGCAAGCAATCTTAAGAGATGGGTCCTGAGACATTTACAAATTCTCCAAACTAGAAATACCATTATAGCATGGAATTTCTCTCACAAATTGCAGTCCAGTATTACTAAAACCTTTTAATTAACTCCTTAAGACTTATATATGTCTGTAAATTGAGAGCTAGACTCATTAATAAAGCTAAATAATAAAATTCTGTCTGGAAAATTTATTGAAATTTTGTGAGTTTCCTCTACCTCCTCACAGAATGCACGACAAAATTCATCATATGCATCCAAGCCACTTGTCCATGTGGCATTCCAACTCCATAATTCATCCTAAATTTCTATTTTTCTGAGTAAGCACAGATTTCTGCACTTTTTCTTCAGTTGTGGGCTGATACTATTTGCTGGTTAGATTTAGAATGTTTTTGTTGTTACCTTATTTTGCTTTTTTCCTATTTGTTCTTTTGTTTAGAGTGGGCATTTCCCAAAAGATATAGAGACTTTCCTGTTTCACAACAGGTACATGGATGGAAACATGAGCTAAGAACTATAAATTCAGGATGAGATGAGGATGGTTACTGCTGAACAGGCTCGAGCCCAGGTTAAGTGAAAACTCTGCAAACCATGTGTGCATTGACAAAGTTTAAAGTATTACATTATGTGGACCACTGAAGTTCCTTGAAAGCAATCAAAACTTGCATATGTAAATTCTCTAAATGTCTAAGTTGTTATAATGATTTTTTAAAATATTGTAATATAATCTGCAAATATATAGCCTTTTGGGTGGAGGAGATAATAAATTAGTGAGAATTAGTGAGCCCTGTGAAAGGGGCTAGGTAATTTGCTTTACAATTTAGAGATATGATATCATTTATTTAATTCTTCCAACAACTTTTTGTTTTGTTTTTGTTCTGTTCTGTTTTTGTTTTACTGCTATGCATCTAACTGAGACCTTGCTCAGGCTAAGTGGATACTCTATTGCTAAGCTCTACCCCAACCCCTCCCAGTAAATTTATGAGCTAGCTATATAATTCCTACTTTTATTTATTTATATATGACAGCAAATGCATTACAATTCTTATAGAGCACAACTTTTTCATATCTCTGGTTGTATACAAAGTATATACACACCAATTTATGTCTTCATACATATACTTTGGATAATGATGTCCATTGCATTCCACCATCATTTCTAACCCTATGCCCCATCCCTTACCCTCTAACCCCTCTGCCATATCTAGAGTGCCTCTATTCCTCCCATGCTCCCTCTTTCTATCCCTCTATTAATCAACTTCTTTATTTCAAAGAAAACTTTTGGCTAACTTCACTTAACATTATCTTCTCTAACTCCATCCATTTTCCTGCAACTGCCATGATTTTATTCTTTTTTTTATTACTGAGTAAAATTCCATTGTGTATATATGCCACGTTTTTTTATCCATTCATCCACTGAAGGGCATCTAGGTTGCCTCCACAATTTAGCTATTGTGAATTGTGCTGCTATAAACATTGATGTGGCTGTGTCCCTGTAGTATGCTGATTTTAAGTCTTTTGGGTATAAACCAAGGAGAGGGATAGCTGGGTCAAATTGTGGTTCCATTTCCAGATTTCCAAGGAATCTCCATACTACTTTCCAAATTGACTGCACCAATTTGCAGTCCCACCAGCAATGTATGAGTGTACCTTTCCCCCCACATCCTCGCCAACACTTGTTGTTTGTCTTCATAATAGCTGCCATTCTGACTGGAGTGAGGTGATATCTTAGAGTAGTTTTGATTTGCATTTCTTTCCAGCTCTTTGTGACTGTTGTGTTAATGTTTTTTCCCCTATATATTTATATTGCTCTTGTATAAGTCCAAAATCTCTCTTTTGTGGAGAAAGACAATGTTAACAATTCCCAGTATCAACAATACATCATCTATGAGGAAACTTTAAAAATTATGAAACGCTTCATGAATTTGTGTGTTATCCTTGTGCAGGGGCCATGCTAATCTTCTCTGTATCATTCCAATTTTAGTATATGTGCTGCCGAAGTGAGATAGGTTCTAGTTTTGATTGATCTTGTTGGAAAGACAAAGATGGGTTGCTCTGATATAGAATATTGCAGGCAAAGTCGATTCTATACAAAGGAAGATTTTATCCAGATGGATATGGAAACAGAACAATTGCTGAATAAAGAATTTTAGTACTGTATCAAAAGCCTCTATCATATATTGAACACTATGTCTTTTTTACACAACACTCCATCGGTGTAGTAATTATATTGTATCTATATTTCTAAATATTTCAAAATATTTCACTGTATAATGTTGCACCCCTTTGTGTGTTAAGGAATTGGTTATCAAATTTTTATTTTCCAAAAATAAAATGAATCAAAACAAAATGCAATGGCTTGCTTATATTGATACTAGAATAATAAATAAAAACATACAAAATTCTCTATCTTTGACATACACAAATGACAGTTTCATATGATTTAAGTTAAATAGAAATCAGTGCTTCTGAGACATAGTCTAAGAGTAAGACTACTTAAATGGGACAATCCCTGATATTCTCTTCCTGCCATATTGATTCAAATATGTACAACTCCCTGACATAAGAGCCCTTTGCCTGTTGATGTTTCTAACATTAAATTAGTCTTAGAGTTGGTATGCCTCAGAATTACTGTGAAATTTTATAACTAAAGGAAACTTTAAGATAGTCTATTCCAGTCTCTACACTTTAAAAATCATAAAGCAAAAGTCCAGACCTGAGAGCAAAGTCCCATAGTCAGGTGGTAAAACTTCAATTATTATTGAACTACTTAATATTCTAAACATATAATCACCCTTCTTTCTCTTATTCCAGCAAAGGCATTTTAGCTGCATACTCCCAGGTTTTTCCATTTTCTTTATGTCTGTCAAAATTGCTATGGTTCAGTGATAGCAAAGCCTATCATATCATATTTAATTACAATACTGAAGATGGTTAAATGTCCTGTGTGTCCTCCATACTACATAAAAGAAAAAAAATGTCTGATGATTTGTTTCTTCAAAAATCAACTAGCTACAAGATTTTTTCAATCCTGTAATGAGGTTCATCACTGTTGATTGCCTGTGCTCATCATAGAAAAATTTATGGTAAGAGATGCTAAAAGAAGCCATAGTTTATGATAATTTTTAGTGTTAATTATCTTCAGAGACTTATTAGAGGAGAAACCCATATCAGCAGCTACTTGCCTTCAGTGCACTTCAAAGAAATGAAAGCTAACATGAGGCCATGAGACAAAACACAGCACTGTTTTGTTGTTTGTTTGTTTTAAGGCATGAGTGAAAAGAGAACTATATAAAGGTTCCATATCAGTATAGTTTTTTAATATTATATTACATATATAACCAGTGTAGTAT